TATAAAGGGGGGGAAATCATATGCCTTCCCTTACTTCTATCCTACCTGCAGGTAGTCTGTGGGTTACAATGATAGTTGGGATTGTAATTGTAATGGCAAGGACTGCCTTTTTCCAGTTATATCTACCCAACCTACCAGAAAGGCAGGACATGTTGCGGGTTCCATCTATTCAAAAAACCTGGTGGGACTAAAACAAGGGCCTTCTCAGTGGTAGCTCCCTCCCTATGGAAAACACCCCCAAAGATAAAATTGGCCCCCATGTTGTTACTTTTCAGGAAGGCTCTGAAGATATGGTTCTGTCTGCAGGCCTGAGGACTTCAAGCAGATATGGAGACAATGATATGATTGTATTGTTGCCACCAGGGAGTGGGAGGGCTGGAAAATGGGGTGTATGGTTTTTTTATTTTGTTCTTGTTTTTATATTTAATGTTTGTAATATTTGATATTTTTTAATTTGATCCAGAGTTACGGTGTGTCAGTTTGGTGGCCATAAACATTGTTTAATAAATGAATGAATTCTGGCAGTCCTGGTTGCTGTCAGTAAATGAGGACCTCACGTGAACACAGCTTCCAACTTCCTGCTAGTTTCACCATTGACTTCGTTTGTGGGAAAGTGGCAGGGAAAATTGGAAATTGTGATCACCGTGACTGTGGGCATGCTACGACGACCAAAGTTCTGAGGACTCATATTTCCCTCTCATTCAGCACTGTTGCATCTTGAGTTATCACTGAATGAGTGGTCATAACCTGAAGACTGTGTATAAAGAAAGCAGCCAGATGATTCAGAGAGAGCTATGCAGAAATTGGGTAGTGGGGATAAGAGGACCTGGCCAATGTAATGTAAGGATATTTACTTGACCCCTATGGGTCCTTGTAGGCCCTGTGATACAGATGATGTAGTTTTTAATATTAAATAGGCAGCCTTCCAAAGAAGAGGAAGAACTGATTTCGGTTTTACAGAGATGGTAAAGCAAACTTCAAAAGAGTTTGTTTATTTACTAAATTTATTTATTCATTATCCAGGCTTACGAACTAGAAATAGTTTTGATCAATTGAAAAACTGAAGTAATGCAGAGTGGTACATTATATTTGCTCTTTAGAGTTGCTAATATCAGTAACACAAGAGTTAAAGTCTGATCTTGAGTAGAATACTTTCTAAAGCATTGTGTTTGGCATCGATGTTTGGCATCGTGCAAAGCTATTAAAATGGCTAAGGTCGCTGAAATCTTTTCTGTGCAATGTTTACATTTCAGTAGCAGTTAATTGCAAACGTTACTTTATAAGGTTCTGTAGTTGGGTATTTTGTGATTGACAAAATATTTTTAAAACATTAGCTCTTGGGAGGGGTGAAATGAAAACTAATTCTGCTATGGGAAAATATTATTTTATTTTTGTGGCATAAATATACCCACAAAGTAAGTTAAAATATTTTTTGAATTGTTAATAGACTCAATACATATTTAAAGCTGATTATTGAGTTTGAAAATAATGTAATTTTGTTACATTATTTGGACTTGCAACATGCAGGCATATTTCTAAGCTGCTTTTAGAGATTTTAGTGCGATAAGAGTATTTTTTTGGAAAGAGAATAAGAGGGTTGAATGAAATACTGTTTTGTTCAGTACTATCAAAGTTATGCTGAATGTCCAGTAGGCGCTTAAATCCATTTTTCTCTCCAGTATCCCATGTGTAATTGAGTCCAGTTAATTTACCTTACGCTCTCAGTAAACTACAATTTTATTATGAACTTGGTAGTGAACAGTATTTATCTTTCAAGATAACATTTGAGATTTTGCTTTTGCTTTGATTGGATTTTCCTTAGATTTGGGTGAGTAAGGTATTGAAACTTTAATTTTGGACTATCGGGTCTATATTGAACCTATACATTTATAGAAAGCTCAGATAGAATGCAACATACATTTTATTTTCTATAGTAAACAAGAAAACAAGCTTATTAATAATAGAATACAGCAAAAAAGTGTGCATTTAGATCATCTAAAGAATTAATGTCATAGTTTGGTCATTGGGTTTCAAACAAGCTATTTTCAAAATAATGCATGTTGCTTAGTCAGAATCATTGGCTCTATTCAATTCTAGCTTTCCATTTTTTGCTAGAATTTTGGCATATTATTCACAGATGTATCTTATTATTTCTGTTGAAAGTGGGTTTGGCTATTAAACTAAAAGAGGAATTATGTTTGAATACAATCTTAACTTCTTTTTCTTCTAAGAAGCCAGAATGTCATTTTTCTGACAAGCTCTGATTTCAGGTCAAAGACAATTCTAAAAATTCTAAGCATACAATTGTCATTGGTCCATT